CACACACACACACACACACACACACACACACACACACACACACACACGAGGAGTTGGCACCCACAGGACAGGCACAGCCACGCGGGGAGGGGGACACACACCAGTACCCACCGGCCCCTTTTGGCACACGCGGCAGTGAGGAAGCGGGTGGGCAGGGGTGGGGAGGGGGGTGCGGGGGCTGCCTTCATCTGAGCCGGAGAGTTCATGGAGGATCAGGGTGGGGACACCAGGGAGAGGTGCCCAACGCACACGGCGTCACCACAGCCATGCCCCTGGGGTGGCACCAGCCCCGGGGGACACGGGAGGACACGCGGGAACCCAACCCAATAAATTAGAGGTGGGGTGGGAAGGCGGGAAGGGGACACCAGGAGGGGGTCAGAGCCCGTTAGGGGAGCGCTGGATGAACGGCACTTTGCTGAGCTCCACCACGGGCGAGCGGGGCTTGTTCTGCATGCGGGGCACCCGCTGCAGCAGCTGCTGCGCCTGGTGCTGTGCGTCTCGCAGCTCCTTCCGCCACTGCACCAGCTCGGGGTCGCTCTGCGGGGCAGGGAACGGGTCAGGAGGGGCTCCCCGAGGGGACAGGGTGGCCAGGTCAGAACAGGCTCCCCAGGATGCCAGGGCAGAGGACAGGATAGCCAAGGACTCCCCAGGCAGCATACAGGGTGGTGGGCTTCCCAGGGTGACAGGGAAGGGTACCGAGTGGTTGGGTGCTCCCCAGGGCAGGCCACGGGGTGTCAGGGCAGGGGACTGGTGGTTTGGGGTTCGCTGAGGCACCAGAGCAAGGTTTGGTTTGTCAGGGGCTCCCCAGGGCGCCAGGGCAGGGGACAGAGTGGTTTGGGGCTCCCTGGGGTGTCAGGGCAAGGTACAGGGTAGTTTGGGTCTCCCTGGGTTCTGCAGCTGCCCCAAGCTTTTAGTATTCAGGCCCTGTCATGGCTTGAAGGACTAAATGTGCAGGGCTAGTGGCCAGCAAGAGGTGGCCAGCAGCTGGCAGGAGATGGTTAGTGCCCAGCAGAGGATGGCTAGAGACAGCCTGGAGGTGGCTAGTACCTAGCAGAGGGGATCGCTAACAGATAGCAGGAGTTGGCCAGCACCCAGCAAGGTTTGGTTAGTGCCCAGTGGGAGCAAGTGGCACTCGGGGAAGACGGCCAATGAGGGGACAGGGGGTGGCCAGCACCCAGCAGAGATGCCAGTGGCCCCAGAGGCTGGCCAGCCCTAGGGGTGGCCCAGGGGGAGGGGGGCACACTCACATCACACTGCAGCACGAACTGCTTGCCCCCACGGATGCGGAGCAGGATGCACTTCCGCTCCTTCACCTGCGTCTCCTCCACCGAGTCGATCTCCTCCATGGTGAGCAGGGACTGCTGGGGGGACAGGCTCAGCCCGGCCTCTGGCCCCCCACGCACCCCAAACCCCTCACAGTCCACCCCCTATGCCCAGCACACCCTGGCACCAGCCCAGTGCTGTGTCGTGCCTGCCTTACCGGCGACTCGCCCTCCCCACGCCACTCGAGGCGGTTGGGAAAGAGGTAGAAGTAGCGGCGCTGCCACTGTGTCAGGAAGGGGTTGCCCAGCTTGGCCATGTACCCATGCATGATGCAGTCCTTGCCCATGGCGTACTCTGTGCCCAGGAGAGGTGGGGTCAGCCCCGGATGCATCCCAAGGGGGCTGTCAGGGTGGGGGTCCCCAGCCCCACTCACCCTCCTCATGGCCCAGCTGCTTGTTCTTGGCCTTCTTGCGGGCCTCCAGCTTGTCGGTGTCGGCGTTGACGGCATTGAAGACAGTCTCGGTCACCTCCTGCTGCCAGCGCTCCGAGATGGTGAGCGGGAAGTTGCGGTACAGCTCCTGGTCGCTCTCCAGCAGCTGGGTAGGGCAGGATGCTGGGCTGAGGGGCTGCTGGGTACCCCACACCCCCACGCTCAGGCCCTGCGTCCTGGTACCTTGATGCCCTTGGTGTCCTCCTCGTCGAAGGAGCCGATATCGAAGGCGTCGGCTGCGTTCACCTCGCCACGGGGCGGGATGAGGGGCGGCGGGTACTGCGGGTAGGAATGGGGACTCAGAGGGGTGGCTGCCCATGTCCGTGTCCCTGTCCCCAACCATGGGTGTAGTGCCCCTCACCTTCTGCAGGAAAACCATCTGCCAGTCCAGGCCCTTGAAGAAGGGCTCCTCCTTCACCTCCTGAGCCCTGGGGAGGGAGGAGGGCAGGTGAGCTGTGCTCTCAGGGCAGTGCACCAGCACACCCTCCCTGGTACCTCGGGTGTTTCAGGGGCACTCACCCACGCCCCATGCAGCCCAGGCGCCGGTTGACATCCCGCTGCAGCAGCCCCTCGAGCAGGGAGCGCAGCTCTGGGGAGAAGGAGTCCGGTAGCTCCACGGCCTGTGGGAGATTCCATGAGCACGTTGGCACCAAGGGACATGCGTACACATGGCTAGGGATGCACACAGATGTGCACGGGATACACGCAGATGGGCGCGAACATGCACTCTGGGCATGGCTCAGCGTGAAGGACCAGCTGTCCCTGACCCCTCACACCCCAGTGAGCCCCCCAGGCCACCACCAGCACATGGTGAGGGGCACAGCAGCCCAGGGGTGCTCATGCCCTGCCCTCACATCAGCACCCCCGGCACACACACACAGGGGTGCCCCCACTCACCATGGTGAGGGTCATCCGGTCAATCTCATGCTTGTCCTTTGTCTTATGCTGCCGAAATGGGCTGTGCCTGCGGCGTCAAGGGGAATGGCGGGTCAGTGGTGCCCACCTGTGCCCACCCACGCCTACCCGAGCCCAACACTCACCCCCGGAGCAGTTTGAAGAGCATACAGCCCAGGGAGAACCAGTCGGCGCTGCTGTCGTACGCCACCCCCTTCTGCAGCACCTCCGGCGCCATGTACCCGTGGGTGCCCCTGGGGAGGGGGCACAGGGGGGTCAGGGGCCGCCCTGGGCGGGTGGGCAGGGCGGGCAGGGGTGTGGGCACACTCACACGCTGGCGTGGGGCTTCTTCTTGGAAAAGTCACAGGCCAGGCCCAGGTCGGAGATGCGGACGTGCCCGAACTCATCCAGGAGGATGTTTGCTGGCTGCCAAGACATGGCATTCCCCCTGAGCCCAAGGACAGCCCATGGGTACAGCTGGGGAGCTCTGTGGGATTTGGAGTGTCTACAGGACTGAGGTGGGACTGGGAAGTGCTGATGGGGTCAGCGAGTACCCGCCCTGAGGTCTCAGAGTCTGCGATGGATCTTAGGGGGTTCCTGCAGTGTCAGGGGTGCCCAAGGGACATGAGGGTGCCCTCTGGATTTGGGGAGTGCCCACAGGGTCTGAGGGCTCCTGCAGGGTGGCTGTGACACCTGTGACTGACCATGGAGTCCTGTGGGAGTTTCTAAAGGCCTGAGGATGCTAACAGGGCATCCTGTGGGGTCTGAGGGTGCCCACAGGGGTGTGGGTGCCTGTGGGGATGGTCACCTTGAGGTCACGGTACACAACGAAACGGCTGTGCATG